CCCACCACTGCGTCATCATGGAGGGAGGGAGGGAGGGAGGGAGGGAGGGAGGGAGGGAGGGAGGATAGCAATAGCACTTAGGCTTAGATACTACTTCATAGTGCTTTACAGCCCTCTCTAAGCGGTTTACAGAGTCAGCATATTTGTCCCCCAACAATGTGGGTCCTCATTTTACCGACCTGGGAAGGGTGGAAGGCTGAGTCAACCTTGAGCCCCATCAGGATCGAACTACTGGCAGTAGGCAGAGTCAGCCTGCAATACTGCCTTCCCACCACTGCGCCACCTGTCAGCTCAGTTCAATGGGTCCCATTTCCCTGGAATACATTTTATCAAATCAAACTTCTTTCAGGGTGCATTGAAATCTCAACCAAAATTATCAGCCAGCCCAGATCATTCGGAATCCTGGAGATGCAACATACTGGCCATGGATGACTTATTAATGAAGTATAAACTTGTTAATTAATTTGGAAGAAAAACGAACAAAGTGCAACATGTGTTTCGTATCAACATGTTATGCCCAGCAAGGATTGGACCTACTACGAAGTAGAGAAATAATAACTTCTCTTGTTGGTATTTCTTTTAGAGCAATGGTAAAAAGACTCACCATTGCTTATTTCTCTTTACAGTTGCCAAAGATCATTGCTTTTCACAGCAGGAAAAAAATTCAGCAAATGAATATTCTACACATTAGACAGGAGGGGCTTTTTTCCCCAAGGAAAAAATGATCTATCTATCATCATCATCGTCATCATAGAGTTGGAAGGGACCTTGGAGGTCATCTAGTCCAACCCGCTGCTCAGGTAGGAAACCTATACCATTTCAGACAAATAGCTGTCCAGTCTCTTCTTTAAAACTTCCAGTGTTGGAGCATTCACAGCTTCTGGAGGCAGGTTGTTGCACTGGTTAATTGTCCTCACTGTTGTGAAGTTTCTCCTTTGTTCTAGGTTGCTTCTCTCTTTGATTAGTTTTCATCCGTTGCTTCTTGTCCTGCCTTCAGGCACCTTGGAGAATAGCTTGACTCCCTCTTCTTTGTGGCAGCCACTGAGATATTGGAACATTGCTATCATGTCCCCCCTCGTCCTTCTCTTCCTTAAACTAGACATACCCAATTCCAGCAACCGTTCTTTATATGTTTTAGCCTCCAGTCCCCTGATCATCTTTGTTGCTCTGAAGATCATAAAAGATCATTGCTTATCATGGATGCTGAAAGTGGCCTTCCTCATCATTCAACAAAACTTTTTTTAAACAAAAAAAAACGAACCCTGCCCTTAACCCTTATAGATATAAGGGCAGTACAATATACAAACCCTGATTCCTGGCTTTATGGGGTGGTCACGAAAGAGAGGGAATAAAACTGGGCATCTGGGGTGCTAAGAAAAACAAAAAAGAAAGGAGTCCATCTGCAACAAGCGAACTATTGACATCTTAAGTGCAATGCAGCAACAGGGCCCCTTCCTGGTTAAGAACATAATCTAGGATTAAGCAAAGGTCAGCTACCTCTTGCAAGCAGGCAAGACACAAGAAACTGATTAGTTCTCTTTAACGATGCAGGCTTCACATAGCCAGTCCCCAACGTATCACCACAATTGTCCTCCAGCAAAGTCGTAAAACGGGGGCAAAATACACTTAAGTGTCTCACTTAGCAACAGAAAGTTTGGGCTCAATTAACTTTCTGTTGCTAAGTGAGACAGTTAAGTGTATTTTGCCCCTGTTTTACGACTTTTCTTGCCACAGTTATTAAGTGAATCACTGCAGTCACGGTTTTTAAGAAAACCTGGCTTCCCTATTGATTTCGCTTGTCACAAGTTCACAAATGGTGAACACATGACCCCAAGACACAGCAACCGTCATAAATATGAACAATCACTAAATGGACTGTTGTAAGTTGAGGACGTCCTGTATAACAGTGGTGGCGAACCTATGGCACGGGTGCCAGAGGCGGCACTCGGAGCCCTCTCTGTGGGCACACGTGCCGTTGCCCCAGCCTCGCCTCCCCCCACGACCCCCTCCTCTCCAGCAGACCCCCTGAAGGAGAGTCGCCCTCGAACGTGGCCCACGCGGAGCAGCGCAGCCAAGGACATGGCAGCCAGGCAGTGTAGACAAGACTCTGCTCTCACACCCCATCATGCAGTTGATGCTGCAGGGCGTGGGCAGAGGGTGTGGCCGGCATAGAGCTGCTGGGCTGCCTGGGCGATCCGCGGCGGGCCCTGGAGGTGGTGAGTGGTCCTGTGGGCAGGCAGGGCAGGGGATGGGGGGCAAAATGGGGGCAGGGCAGGGGGGGTGGAGTGGGGGCGGGGCCAGTTTTGGGGCACTCAATCTCTAAAAGGTTTGCCATCACTGCTGTATAACATCCTTCTCCTCCAGGGATCCATCCGCGGGACCAGATAGAAGTTTGCAACGATTAAACCTCCCTCTTTCTTACAGGTATGCCCAATTTAACACATTTAAGTCACACATTGTTACCATAACACCTTTTGTCCTTACAGGCACCACACACTCCCAGCCGCAAATGTTTTCATTCCAGAACAGTTTCCCCCCCCCCATGTGAAAAGATTCACCCTCTTTCTGACGACTTTAATCCCAAATATTTGGCGTACGCTAAATCAGAATGATTTTTGGACTTGTGACTCTTTGCGTGAAATTAACCTGTCTCCCGTTAGCCGTCATCTCTTTGAGTTTCGGAAATGTGAGGGATGGGTTCTCAGCTAGGAAGTCCTCCAGCAAACACTATGGTGGAATATTCTCCTGGCTCCAGGTTAATACTGCCTTCCTGATGCCTTTGAAGGAAAACCGTCTCTGGATTAAATGTGGACAGATGCCACGAAGGACCAGAACCACAATCTGTCCTCACAGAGGACTAGGAACTACTACCTAAAACACCCATGGCACTCTTCTTCCAACTTAATTTGGGTTGGTGAACGAATCCAAACGTAGTGAGCAGGGTTGCTTAACTTTCCAGGTCGGCCACATTCCTTCAGTGACTTTCCATCTGCCCCATTTGTTCATCTGATACATTTTTTATTTATTTATTTGTACCCAGACTATATACCTAACACTCCTTCCTCCTCCCATTTCCCCCACAACAACAACTTTGTGAGGTGGATTGGGCTGAGAAAGAGGGACTGGCTCAAAGTCACCCAGGTGGCTTTCATGGCTATGGCGGGACTGGAACTCACTGTTTCCAACTTCTAACCTAGTGCTTTAACCACTAGATCAAACCAGCTTTGAATGCTGAAAGTTGAGTGCACAAACCACATTTGCCACTCTGCAGCTTAGTTGGAAAGCTTTTTTCGAGGGGGATTGAACGGCAAGGCCACGATGGGTGCCACCGACACAGAAAGTGGGTGAACGTTTGCAAAAGGTGCTTTGAGCCACCTCTCAAAATCTCCTGTCCTTCCAACCTTCATTCATTATGCTGTTCTACTCTCCAGCACGCTTTACACGTTCTGGACAGTGTGCTCCTTGACAGAAGATGCTAAACATCCATCTCCCTCCATGGATGAATAATCAGAGAAGACGGCACCCTCCTCCATAAACATGAAGGAATCTTGCCAACTGTCAAAAAACTAACTAGAGTATATACCTAGGCCCAAAGCGCAGCAAATCACCGTTCTCCAGAGAGGGGGGGGGCTGGGCTCCTAGCCAAATTGCACCACAGAATCGTTATTTTTTTTTCCCCCTCAGCATGGAAATGTAATATTTGTGCATGGATTGCACGAAGCGGCTGCAAATTATTTTGCCCGTTTTTCATTGCAGGAGAATCTTCACAGAACGGCCTTTTCAAATGGCAAAGTTGAACATTGGAAGGGATGTTCTCCTGCCTTCGAATGCATGTTGTTTTGGCACTCGCCGAAGAGAAAAAAATAATATGGGTTCTGCAAGGCCCACGGAATTTCTGCAACCATGTGCAGTTTTGTGTCCAGATAGATGGGTGGGGAGGAGGGGGAGGACAGGAAAAAATGCTTATAGTAGTGCTACAAACTGCTGAGTAAGTCACTCCAGCGTATCTTTAGAATTGTACAAAACAGAAGCACGCGCACCCAGGCACAAATGCAGACATCCAAAAAAAAAAAGCTGAAAAAACATCTACTTTTTGAGGCAAGAGCATTTAATAAACATAAGTTTTTCTTTTAAAAAAAAGGGGGGGAAGCTTCTTAAGAATGAAGTGGTATCCTAAACCCTAGCAAATTTTTAGAACCACTTTCATGAACTAGACTTTAACAATTTATACCCTTTAAGCCGTATTTCTTCAGTTAGGCCTTCATAGACCAAGGTGTTTGAAATTTTAGAACCGTTTTCCGCTAAACTTTCAGTTTCTCGGTTGCTTCTAATAAAAGAATCAAGGAAGGAGTCATTTTATTAATTTATTTATTTGCATGCCTGTATCAAACTTGGGGCTGCAAAATTCTAACATCCTTCCTCCAGTCTGCATTGCCAACAAATAAAAATATATAGCAAAATATTTGACACAGGTGAGTTTATAGTAAAACGTTGTATTTTGTTATAACATTACTTAGTAATATTTGTAAACCAAGGTTATTCCTATGTTTAACGTATAAGAAAGATGTACTGTATTTTCCGGCGTATAGGGCGACCTGGTGTATAAGACGACCCCCGACTTCGGCGCCGAGTTGCATGCCTAGAAAGTCGTCTTATATGCTGGAAACTACCATAATTTCCGGCATATAAGACGACTCGGCGTATAAGACGACCCCCGACTTCGGTGCCGATTTCAACGCTTTAGAAAGTCATCTTATACGCCAGAAAGTACAGTATCCATTTCTCTTTTTTCCACTTTTTGTATCATTTCTATTTTTACGGATTGCTTAATTTTGTTATCGTGCTACGTTGCTTATATTTGGTACTCTTTTAAAATAAAGAGTATTTTAAAAACAAAACAACACGTTAAAAAGCCCACAACATTACAAGACTGATGGTAATATATAATCCATAAATTCAATTTAGAAAGAGCAAATGAATAAAGCCGCCACCAGCATTACCTCTAACGCTCCTGGAAGAAGACTGGTTTTTTCCAACTTCTGCACATCTAATAAAAAAAAAAAGTGGAGGGAATAATCTAATTTCCAAGGGAGGCTCTCCCACACAACTGGTGTCCTAACTGGTAAACTGAGTTTTGTTGTTGGTCCTTAGCTCCTCCCTTGTTGAACCTGAGAGCCACCACAAGTTCCTGCTGGAAAGAACATCCCAGAAATGACCTATTCTGATTGCAGGTGGTGGTCTTGGAGACATGTGGGTGTCAAGGGTAGTGGACATGTCTCTGAGACCTTCTTCTGCCATCAGAATAGATTCAGAATAGACCTTCAGATGTCCCTCCAAGCCTGAGAACTGCTTAACATGCCCTTGTAAGAAGATATGCACAACCACTCAAGCCTAATTGACCTTGAGTGGTGAGTGGAACAAGAATCAGCCAGGAACCCGTGACTCAGTAAATCAAATTGTTGATATTCCCTCTCCATATTTGAAAGATAGTAAGGGTAGCACGCTGACCTAGTATTTCAAAAGAAGGCCCCCAGATGGCCTTATCAAAAACATTCCAATATCATGTTATCACTTATCCTGTCTCTGCCTTAGCCTTGTCTTTGTAATGTAGTGGGGGGGCAAAGATTTATAAACTCTGGCATTGCTTTTGATTAGCACTGCTTAGCTCTGTCTTATTGTTTGCACGCTAATAAATTTATACTGTATCTTCAAAACGATTTGGTTGCTTCAGGTGAGCCCGGTGTTGGCCACAACTCAAGGCATTAAGAGTTCAAAACTAGCACTCTGAATTACACTTGGAAACCTACTGGAAATCATTGCAAATGCACAGGCTTAGTTTTGCAAGCATGGACGAGAAAGGAGACAACAAACCAAGATCCCTAAATAAGCCAGGTTCCTACTAACAGAGACATGACGTAGTGTGGAATTATCCCAATGCCTACCCTACCACACCATCTGCGCAAGAAAAACGACAACTTTCCAGAATCTCTGATGATCCTTTTGCGTGAACTCAACCGGGGTGTCTCAACTGAGGCCTAAATCAGGAGTGGGGAACTATTGTGGACTTGCAACTCCCAGAATGGCTGCCTCGGGAATTCTGGGAGTTGAAATCCACCAGTTCATAAAGGAGCCATAGTTCCCCACCTCTGGAAATAAGTAAAATCAAATGCCCTGCTTACTGTATTCATAGAAGCAGTTCATCGGTTGGTTAAGGGGAGGGTTTCCTGTCCCAGATTGACCCAAATTCGGTAAAAAAAATGGTTGTACTTTCTCCTCTGTAGAAGAAGAAAAAAACGGACAAGCTGAGAAGAAATAGCAACCAAAGGACGCCTATGGGGTGCTAAATCTTCAACTGCCATGTTGCTCTCAGCCACAACTGAAAACTGCCAATTTAAACAGCTTTTCTGGCCTTCCAAACCTCTTTCTGTGGTCTAAGAAACCTCGAAACGCAACATGGGCACGTCAGCTAAATCCCATGAGGATCGGGCAACTTGGTGTTTCAGTCCAGTGCTCACCTCTTTTCCCTTTCTGCTACCACAAGGGTGATAAAGGAATCAAGGATTCTTGTACTAAAAGAATCCAGCCGGCAATCCAGAGACATCTTTACTTAAGAACTGCCAGAGTGGAAGTTTCTAGAATTTGTAGGAACGGATTTCCGTTTGACTGAGCAGGGATGGCAGAAGCATCTTATCAAGGCCACCAGTGTGATGTCAACAGCTATGAACAATCCAGGCTTCATTCAGCTTCCCACAGATCTGATCAGCAATGCGGGAAGCAGCAAGACAAGAAACAAGAAGGCAAGACAAGAAACAATGGATGGAAACTAACCAAGGAGAGAAGCAACCTGGAATTAAGGAGAAACTTCCTGACAGTAACCAGTGGGAAAAGCTTTGCCTTCAGACATTGTGGATGCTCCAACACTGGAGGTTTTAAGAAGAGACTGGACAGCCACTTGCCTGAAATGGTATAGGGTCTCCTGCTTGAGCAGGGGGTTGGATTAGAAGACCACCAAGGTCCCATCCAGCTCTATTCTGATTGATAATTAATAACAGAAAATATCTGTAGCTCTGGGATGAAATGAGGGGTCCTTGGTGATCTCTAAGCTTGGTTGCTTTCTTGCAGATATTTCATTACCCAAACTAGAGAACACCATCAGTGCTAGAATGAGAGCAAACTCCACTCTCTGCTAGGACTGATGATGCTCCCTAGTTTTATTTGGGTAATGAAATATCTGCAAGAAAACAACCAAGCTCAGAGAGCATCAATACAGGAAGACTTAAAGCTTTGCAAAGGATCACAGAGCATAGCCAGGACAAAATGAAAAATGTAGGCCAAGCTTTGCAATTTCTTCACCCAACTAGTTCAACATCTTGATCCTGATAGCATAAGGAAGAAAGCCAAGATGCAGATTCACAAAGGTAGATACCTATGTCTACCTTAGAGGGGAAACATCTCTGCTCCCAACTCAGTTCATGAAAGGTCATGAAAGGGAGCTGCACTAGTAAATGTTTTCCCCTATTTGTTTGAACGAGTAGAATCCTGTGAAGTTCTACCTGAAAGTTCAGGGAAGGGTGGATATTTCTGTTCAAGAAAATATACTGTATAATATCTCCAGGAAATTTCAGTTATGGAATCCAGGTCAAGACTTTTGCAGGCAATTATCTTACGTTATTCCACTGTACCTCTCTAATAATGGGAGGAATATATCAGGATTTCACAAAAAGAGAACTTGCTAACAAATTCTCTCTTGCTAACAAGACAGAAGCTCGTTTTCCAAGAACTGGAATCAAAAGATCAGGCAAAGATATCAGGTACAAGCAACCAGGACCGCTTGTGAATACTCAAACAGAAGCTTTATTACTGATCACCTATGTTACCAGAATCTCACCAGACTGATTACAGTTTTTTGGAAGGGTCAGGTAAAGCTTTGGGGATTCTGGGGGTGGTCAGGCTTTTGCTACTTTCTCCAGTGCAAGGACTCTAAGCTTGCCCCCTTCTTAACACCTCCCTCCATTCTAGCTGGAGATTCCACCACAAATGAGCATATTTTAAAAATATGCCTGTGTGTTTATGTGTCTGTCCTTCCATCTATCCATCCATCCATCCACCTACCTATCTGCTTACCTACATACCTACCTACCTGGTTTTTTTTTCCCATGATAGGCTCAGTTGAGCATTATGTAAAGCTTCAAATCCTCTTGCAACCTTTGGGGGGATAGATTTGATCACTTGGAGGTTTCCATCATGACAGACAGCTAAACTTTATCCTTGTTTTCTCCTAGGCTGACAAGTTAACGCCTACTTTATTGCAGGTTGAAATGTTCTGCATTTCAATGTGAAGCTTCTGTGGCCATGAGAAGAAACATTTAATTATGGAATATTATCATATATCATTTTTACAGTAGAATCAGAACAGCCGCAGGGAAAACAATCGTACAACGTTGCCACAGAAATACAGTAAAAGGCCAGACTTCCCAATCTCTGGAGGAAAATAAATATTGTTTTATTAAGTGTCTGAAACTAATGCAGTTTGTCCACAAAAGAGCCTTCGGAAATAATTTAGAAAAGATGTTTCAGTAGAGATGTAATCCGGGTGCAGCTCTTTAAAGTGTTGGCATCTTTTCCCAGGATTGCACAGCTGCCCAATGGGATTCCAAAGACAGACAGGGCTGCTTTAAAGGGCTGCTGTCAAGAATGATCCAAAGCACCTTTTCTGGAATTGAATCTGATGAGAGACACTAACCTATAAACTTGCAGAGGTGTCCAACCTTGGCAACTTTAAGACTTGGGGTCTTTAACTCCACAGGTCTTAAAGTTATCAAGTTTGGACACCCCTGCTATAGAGCAACTTAATCCTCATATCCTATTAAGGATGGACACATTAAGGAGGAGTTAAGGACTCCTCTGATTAAGAAGGACACATTATCTGAGTTGGAAGAGGAACCAGAGAACTTTAAACGACAGTCTTTAAATCCATCCAACAGTGTTTGATGAGGACTGTGAACAAGTTTCGAATCTCAAAGCTGAGGGAGAGAAAAAAAAATCCACCAGCCTACATCCATTTCACTAGAGCAAATACAATTTGCATTGGACCTGAGATCAGAAAGAGTTTTGAGGGCATCTGAGGACAATGAAAGTTCTTTTAGATCAGCAATGGGAAAGAAATAAAGAGACTTATATGAGCACCAATGGTGACAGTTCATTAAAAAAAAAAAAACTCTACTCTCCAGGCAGGAATCCCCAACAGGAGTCATGTGGGGTTATTCCTTCTCTTTTGCCCAATTAGTCAAGAGTTAGTCAATTTCAGTAATTAGGAATTTCTTTTCCCCAAGATGCCCCCTGTTTAATGCAGACCAGTAGATTATTTTTAATATGGATGGTGCTTATCCCAATCAGGGCAATCAGAGATTTCTGCTCTCTTTAATTATTGTTTTTAAATCAATAAACCAAGACAAAGGTCGCTATTCAATTCACTCTGGAAAGAAAGCAAGGGGTGACATTCACTATGGATTGCATTATGAACTGTTCTAACTCCTTCCAAAATTGAAGCCTTATGCTCTAGATATTGGATCACAGTTCGCACATTAATTCTGCTAAAGATCACTGAACAGGCAGTGGGATTAAGAAGGAGACCTGTGATTTAAGATTAAATTTATCCCTTGCTTGAGCAAATTTTGCAGCCTATAATTGCTTCACTAATCTCCAGGGGTTTGGTTCTTCTAAACAGCAACTGAAATCTAATCATTTTTAGGTTAGATTTAGATTGTCCAGAATCAATGGGATAACTAGGTTTCAATATATAAGAGGCATTTGATAAATATTTGAAAAATATTTCTGTGTGCTAAGTAAAGTAATGTGCCATATCCAACCCCCTCTATAATCTATTATGATCTTTTTAGGGCTGAAAATTGAAGATTCCTGATCTGTCTTTTCATAATCAAACTGTTTCCATGAAGAGCAACTAAGATGATCCAAAGGCCTGGAGACTAAAATATATGAAGAACAGCTGCAGGACTTGGGTTTGGCTAGTGCAGTGGTTCTCAACCTTTTTAATGCCGCGACCCCCAACTGGTTGTAAGTCGAGGACTAAACCGGTCGTAAGTCGAGGACTAAACCAGTCGTAAGTCGAGGACTACCCAACCGGTCGTAAGTTGAGGACTTTCCCTGCCCAGGAGCGCCGTGCATGCGTGGTGCCACCCCCTGCACCGGATGAGGCTTAGCTGGCAAGCAGCAGAGATGGAGCAGGCCGACCACCGGCTGGGCCACCAGCTGGCCCAGCCCAAGGGAGGTAAGGCACCCACCTGAAAAGGGGGAAAAAAATGGCGGACAGCCTTGCTTGGCGACCCCCGTGAAATGGTCAATCGACCCCAAATGGGGTTGCGACCCATAGGTTGAGAACCGCTGAGCTAGTGTCTAAAGAAAAGAAGAAATAGGGGTGATATGATAGTGGTATTCCAGCATTTGAAGGGCCGCCCCAAAGAAGAGGGGGTCAATTTATTTCCCAAAGCACCAGAGGGCAGGACAAGAAATAATGGTTGGAAACTGATCAAAAAGAGAAGCAACTTGGAATTAAGGAGAACAATTAACCAGTGGAACAGCTTGCCACCAGAAGTCATGGATGCTCCATCACTGGAGGTTTTTAAGAAGAGACTGGACAATCACTTGTCTGAGATTTATTTTTTTATTTATGAGACTTATATACCGCTTTAAGTGCAAGCACTCTCTAAGCGGTGTACACCAGTAAGCAATGTATATATATATTTATTTCCCAAAGCACCAGAGGGTACTTTGAGATGGTGTAGGTTGTCCTGTTTGAGAAGGGGGCTGGACTAGAAGACCTCCAAGGTCCCTTCCAGTTCTATTCTATTCTATTCTGTTCTGTTCTGTTCTGTTCTATTCTATTCTATTCTGACACGAGTCACAGTTGGCTAAGTTTGCACAACAAGGCAACCATGTTTTTCTAAGCACAACCAATGTGTTCACACAATACACTAAACCAAAAACTAAAGAAACTGTGACAGCCTGTTAGGATGTGTAAATGCAGTCTACACTGGATCACTCAAGTCAAGTTATTAAACTCTGGAAGGATTTCTAATATCAAAAATAGGGAGGTTCGGCTTATGAGTTTAGAATTTTTGTAATTTACTACAGAAGCTTCATGCAGGAAGCTACACACAAACAAGAACCAGGAATTAGAAGTAAATTACCACTAATCACCACAAAGCAGAATCAGGTTAAACTGAAAAACTGATGTTTCCCTGTCATCTATTTTAGTTTTAAAAGGTAGGAAGAAGCTTTGTCCCTTATAATTCATTTTTCCCAAGCTTTTTTTTTTTTTTACTTGCTGTGACAATCTCTAACTAGATAGTAACAAGCAATTGTTTTTAAACTGACAGGCTGGGGAAAAAAGATACCATAGTAATCAAA